CCTTTGTCAATATCATGAGTGTTGTAAGGCAAGTATAGTCCATGATTTTTACTCGGCCAAAACACAGCCAAAATCCGTTACAACTAGAGATGGAGAATTATCAGTTTCTTCTGATAGATCGAGTAAAATGTTGTCACTTTTCAGATCTCTGATTTATAAATATTAATGAAAAAAGAAAAGAATACAAATTTTATTATAGAATAATTGTGAACATTGCAATATATAATTAATATAAGGAAACAGTAATAAAATTAGTTTTACCGATGCGCTATGCCATTTGCATTCATATGAGCTACTGCTTCTAAGAGTTGAGCGAGCAATAATATTGATATCCGCATATCAATGTTTCGATCCGTTATATATTGTTTCAAAGTCATACTATATACTAAAAAAAAAGAAACATGTTATATATTACAAAAATATATTAAAATATATTAAATTGTGAATACATTTATATCTTCAAAAAAGTAAATATTTCTACGGATATTATCCGTGTCATTATGCATTGTTAAATGCCAACGTTTCGTGAACGTTACAGTTCACTTCATCAGGGCGAGGAGCAGCCAGTATCAACTTTTTTGAAGATATAAATGTATTAATTATGATAACATTAATTAAAATTACCTTTTCATCACCAAAAACAAACTCATATTTCTGCCTGATCCATGAGGATTGATTCTACTTGGTAAAGCATCGGGATACATCCTCCAAGAACCAGGTAGTATTGGTATTCTATCAGCAAAGACACAATACATTGCTACAATATTTGGATGAGGTGGTAGTATAGCTGTATTTTCTGCCAATTTTTGTTCCCAAAAAGTCAATGAATTATTTCCATAACGTTTTCTAGCAGGTACTATCTCTCTATACATGGCTTTCAGAATAGCAGCAGCATTGGATTCCACATCATAATTGAACATCATTTTTATAGCTAATGGAAATATATTCATATCCTTTGTTTCATTATCAATATTTATTGAATTATCTTTATCTTGCACAGTATTTACAAATCGTGCTGCGTATACAGCAGCGGAACAACCTTTAGCAATTATAGGTCCTATTACAAAATTTTGTAACGTTATATCATTCTCATTATCAGAAATAACTTGATAATTTTTATCATTTTGTGGCATATTCCATTGCAATTTTGAAACAGCTTCCTAAATAATATTACAAATATTGTTATATAATATTACTTAATGATATTAATATATTAATTAATATATTTATATTGGATTTTACAAACAAATAATGCAGCTTAAATAATATATAAAAAAGTTTCAATATCTAAATTTCTATAAACAAACAAACTAACCTGTATTTCCCAACATACTCCTTCCAGCTCATCATCTTTTGTTAATATTCCTGTACCTGATGCTAACGATGTACCAACAAGAGCAAAGAATGGTGCAGAATCACCAAAAACAAGCCTACTTGCTGTACGTCTTCTTAAATCTGCTGCAAGACTGTTAGTTACTCTTTTCAGAATATTGTTAACAAAGATACGCCGAGCATGTGTTCCCAAATAACCGAGATGTTTTCCTGTACTCCATACATTGCTATCATTTTGGCAAAAAAGGCCACTGTTCTGAGATTTACCTATTATGAACATATATATAAAACCATTAAATACCAAATATATTTTACTAACAGTTTATAAATATTTATAAATAAAAAATAAAATGTCTTACAACAAAAAATAGAATATCGATAAATCCTCTGCATTGACAAAATAAGTTTACATCAATGTTATTTTGTCTTTATCATCTTTGTTTTCATATAATTTCTATTTTTAAATTTATTTCTAATTTTACAGAATGATATTAAAAAAATGTATCTCTTTCATGTTGTTATGGAATTTAATTATTAACAGGTAATTGTCAACAGTATGCCTACATTAGTTTTTTATTCCTACATTGGACTAAAACTTTCTATCTCGCTTTTGCCAAACTTCAAATATATGTCTATTCCATTTTAAATACGAGTGTACACTAATTCGGTTATAGAAAACAATTGTATAAGCAAAGTACAAGATTAATTATCACGTAATACTGATACATATTTGTGTCATCAATTTCATAAATTTGTTGTAAAAAAATCAGGTGTAATTTACCTGTTTGTGCAACGTGTATCTTGTTGATGTACTTATCCGCGTATCCTCTTGAACAGAAGCGCTCGTTATTTCGTAATGAGCGCAATATGACGCGACCATTTTGCACAAGACGATGGACTATCATCCGTATCGACATCTCTCCGCTGTCTTGAGCCGGAACAGCTCGGCGGGCGAGCCTATGGACTAGGCACGCCTTGAAGCTGGGTAGTAAAGTCGTTGCGAAAGTTTCAATCTTCTAATTTCAATCATCACATCTACTCTCCACTGCGCAATAAAGCAAATCTAATATATATGACTTGTTTTCCATTCTTGTACTGGATTGCACTAAAATTTTCTTTCTCATTTTTACCAAACTTTGAATATGTTATCTATTTCACTTTAAGTACAACAAGTGTAGATTCGTTCAGCTATAAAAACAAACCTGTGGCAAAGAAAAGAGAGAGCGGCCATTCTAACCTTGTTCGTGAGATCACAGTTTAACCACAGTATAGAGATCCTCGAATAATGCCTACGATACACGATGCTATTTCTCATGTGACTCGCATGCGATCTAGAAAAATTACTAGGAATGCTACGTGCTGTATGGTGCATTCTAGTAATTTACTAGATCGCATGTAAGGGGATGCACACATTTTCAAACACACCGCTCACACAGCCGATATTTAGAAATTTTCTAGTGGACCACCTATCAAAAGACATAATATTTAGTCAACCAATCAGCAATGTGAGCAATCGAGCGCCACTCAAACTGCTAATTACCCACTTTTCCTATTGTCACAAGCTTCGCTGTTGTACGGATCAATCAACATTAATCAACATTATGCGTACCTCCGTTGACTAAATGGCAAAAATTGAAACATGAAATCACAGTTTCACGATAAACAAGAAGAAAGAAAGATATGAGACATGTTTACTAAAATGCAGACCACTTGTAGTATAAATAAAATGTTCATGTTAACTTAACACACAATAGTGAAAAAAAGACAAGTATGTAAATATATATATATGTATTGAATCTAATAATTATACAATATTTATGTGATTATAATTATGTAATATTATCGCCCGCACTATGGCTTTCGTTAACATGCGTCTCAAAAAATATTTTTGTTAGATATCGTAATGCAATTACCTTTATAAAATAATTTTATTTGAAAGTATAAGGTTATTATTAATTTAATTGATAAATTACATCCGTGGATACAATGTACAGCCATTGTAAAATATGTATTTATTAATTTCCTTCCTTTCCTCGATTTCCCTCGAAAGCCATTGTTGTTTTATTATTAAATTTATGATATTAAGCATGACAAATATAATTTATAATAATTTAATTTATAATTTATAATAATTTTGATGATACAATTTAATTATCGTCATTGACAATATTTTTGCAGCAAAGGAAATAAAAATCAGGATGCAAAATAGGATGCAATAACTGGTTTATGAATTATGAATATTATTAGATTTATGATGAAAGTATTTTTATTTTTATATTTGTTATAACATATATATTGAAATCTATTTGTTATATAAATAAGTAAAAGTTTTTAATGATCCAATTTTATTTTAATATAATCTGATTTATTCTAATTATTCTATTTATTAATAGTGCTCTAATAATAATATGAATTAAAATTAAATGTTAAGTTAATTTTTATTTTAAAATATGTTTCTATTTTTCTGCATTATTTTTATCAATATTTGAAAAAAGCTAACTGTAACGATATTAATCTTATTTTATTTTTTCGTTACTAAAATATCAAGTTCTTATTTTCTAACATTTAAAATTTTGATTTGATTTGATTCTTTTTCATTGATTGTTAGATTGTTAGATTTATCAGTAAGTATTATTTATCAATAAAGCTTATAATAAGAATATTTTTGTTTAATTAAAAATTTAAAACTATTTTGAATACATCTAAAAAGAAAAGAAAAATCTTCATCAATGTAATAGCAAATGTTTAAATTGCTTGCAGTTAATTTTTACACTATTACTATATACTGATAATCAGCTTGACATACATATACATTTATTTATTAAAATACATGATTTCTACTGATGAGCTACTTATGAAAATGAATCTATTGAGAGAATCAATCAATATCGCGAAAAAAGACTAACATTTCAATATATTTGAGATTTTATAACATGTTTTTTTAGAAGGGGATTTTAAATATTACAATATTTTCTTCTCGTTAAAGATAGTAAGAAGATCTTTAATTTATATTTTTGTATGTGGACAGATTAACGTAATAATTATATTTGTTCAAAACTTAGAAAGCGATAGAGCGCTTTCACTGAACGTATGAAGCATCTGTGAGGGTGAGAAGAGGGCGGTTCTCCAACTTCCCTATCGCGTAGCGGCAGCGCTGTTTCTGATCTGCATTGCGCATTCATGAAACAGGGGTATTACAGAGGTATCGTGGCGATCGTCCATTGTTGCATTTTCGTTGTCGTCATCATTGTCATCGCTGTATCATTATTGACGCTGCCGTCATCGAATCATTTTGACAGCTTGTGCTCGTGATAAAGAATCAGAACGAAAGCAGACGTTAAAAAGTACAAAGGTGATATTGAACGGGAACTCAACGATAGGGCATACAACACAAACAAGACAGCGTAGCATCTTCATTAAAACAGTAAGGAAAATTTTTGTAAAAAAAAATTTTCTTAATCACAATTAAGAATTGGCACAAGGACGATACAAAAATTTTAGAAAATAGTCATTAGATATAATAAAACCTTTAGATATTAAATTGTTTTTAAGGTAATTATAGATTAGGCAAATATTATATAAGCAAAAGGAGAGTATTGGGAAGTAAAGTCGATATATTGAAAAAGATTTTGACTGAAATGATAAAAAAACTTTTGAATTTTTTAATTTTTTGATAGAATATATATTCAAATATATTATTATTAAAGTTCAATGGATGAAAAAAATGTTGATAAATTAATAAAAAGAAAATAAAATATACATTATAAATAATGTATATTTGTGCATGTATATGTAGGTATGTGCAGCATATGCAAATAGAAATATATATATTAAAATACAGTATATACTTAACAGATACGAATTAAAATATATAATATAAAAATTAATTTTGCAAAATATTTCGTTTTATTACATTATAATAAATATATAAAAATATTATATGGCATCGAATTATAATAATAATAATAAAAGTGCAAAATTATAATGAAATGTAGAGAATATGTATACATAGAAACTCAATTATATTTAATAATTATAAAAAAATTTTATAATTTATATATAAAAATTCATATGACTTTGTTATAAAAATTGTTATAAACATCTTTTTTAATTACATTTTAAAAGTATAAAATTTAAGAAATATATACAGTGTGTAATACATAAAGATATATTACACATATATTATCACATAAAGATATATTACAAATGCAATAACAAATTTGCTTTACTAGAAATTACTAAAATAATCTAAGGGTGATACATACATACGTACATGTATTTTAAAACAATTGCACATCCATTTGTAAACTTTAATTTCGATGTACGAACTGTATACAAGTTGTCTATTTTAATTTTTATAATCAAATAACTGGAAATCACAAAGTTTCAGTAAGAAATATTTCAAACAAAAATTGTAAGATTATGAAGTTGCAAGAGGGTTACATGATAATAATATTGTATTTGCACTTCTTAATATTTTCTATGTGCAGATACCATTTTTTAAAATGAAATTATATAACTTTTTTTTTATATAATTCTTTTAGTTATTTTAGACATAAAAATATTAAAATTGAGTTATTAAATAGGCAAAAAAGACACATAATTACTTTAACAAAATTGTGCAATTTGAAATACGCAAATATCCAGTAAGTAAAATGTTAACAATATATCGGCAGACTGTCAGCATTTGATTTGATTTGCATATATAAAAGATATATAAATAATGACAGCGTATTTGAATTTTAATTATAATAGCATTTTCGATTATAAACATGCTTGACAAATTTTATATACGAAAAATGAACGCAACTTAGTGATAGTGTTATAAGTATTATATATTTTGTGTGATTGCATGTGTGCAGAATTTGCTCGGCTTTTGCTATCAATCTGTATTATACAGACATCCTTCTCTATTTCTGATGCTAATCTAATATCAAACTGCGCAAGCCTGTTCCGTTTTTGCCTATGATTTGTTATCTGTTAGATTTTGTATTTTTGATCGATTTTAGTTTGCCCATATAATCAGATATTACATACTCTATTTGAAATTTGCTGTCTTTAAAAATTGATAGCATATTCTGCTCAAAATTTATTTCTACAGATTTAGCTATATAAGTACAGTATTTTTAGGGGAAACGATTATGTATTTTTTTTATACTAATTAATTCGTTTTATACTAATTAATTAATTTGTGTAAAAATATTAAAGTATACTTTATAAAAAAATGAATACCCACACAGAAATGTCTAACGGGCTTCCATTAAACATTGTAGGAGTTCTAACTTCCATTAGAGATCTATATAATCTATAGACATTTATTAGATCCATAATTGGAAACATTGTGTGAGTATTAATAAAAAAAGATAAATAATTAAATGCAGTATATCAATGACATTTAAAACAGCCGGGCACGATATTTTATATCGAAATTACAAAAAAAATTAACGTATGATTTTATTTTAATCTGTATGTCAATCATGCTTTGGAGTTAACTTTGAAATTTCAACGATATATATGTTTGATTAATAATCCGCTCTCTCTTTCTTTTTTTCTTTTCTTTCTTTTCTCTCTCTCTCTCT